GCATTATACAATGAACGAATGGCCACCATATGCCAGATTTCAGGGGATTTTAATTTGTTGTAATAAATAAAACAGCAAAATATTGGGGTTTCAGAAAACTGCATTGAAATGCAATGTGAAAACTAAAGGTCAAACAATCACAATTTTTGTTGAGATCGATCATGCGATGGAACCTTAGAAAAATTATAATGCATACTACCATGGGAGTTGGCACATTAAATTACCTGCGAGAGGCTAATATCAAGACTTTGTCTCAAAAACTGACAGTGTATTTACACTTCACCCAGGTCCTCGGCAAGTTGTGACACCCCCCCCCCCCCTCAACCTCTCACTTGACAAAACTGGATTTCAATAGATGGCGTCCACTGGAGAACTCTGCCCCAATCGACCTTTTTTCACTTGTGATTTAATGTACAAAGTTGCTGTATATTGTATATTTCAGTAAAGGTAAATTCCAAATCTAATAATCTGACTAATCTTGCTCGTACATTTATCTGCATCATGTTATGCCATTTGTTTGACAGATACAGTATACTGTAAAATACTTTATTTTAGCTGGAATTAATTTTTCGCTGAAATAATATTTTGTATGGAATTTATTTTCACTGATTTCTGAACAGTTGAATGTGAAATATATGAAAAAAGGTATATTCGCTGGATTTTATTTTCACTGAATTATTCCTTCAGCAAAAATTAATTCTAAGCGAAAATAAAGTATTTCACAGTATATAAAAGATGCATGCCCTTATCTAATAAATCCTTGTTAAAACAATTACACACAACCAAATCAAACAAAACCAAGCCTTTTATTTCTAGTGCAGTAATTGACAATGAAGTAGCTTTTATAAAAGCCGACACTAGTGAATGAGAACAAAAATTACAGCTGTGTAATAATTACCAGTAAATTTCTACAAGATTACCAACAAGAAGGGATCTAAGAAATGCCGATGATAAAAACGTGCCACACATGGGTGATTTGATTGCAATAACTAGAGTCCCATATTCTTAGTTTCTTCAGTGCTATGTCTATGGAACACCATATTATTTCACAAACCAACTTGTATTATGCACTGTTTCACTTTATTACGAGAATAAAACTCTTGTACACCACTCAACCTAAAAAGACAAATAAAAGTAATTTAGTCCAAAATGATGAAGGGAAACTTTCCCTTTCATCTTCCCTTGCAAATATTATATTGAATGAACAAACAATACATGCACATCATACATTAGAATGCATATAATAAAACCCTGATCAATGCAACATTCAAAAAGTAGCGCCAGAGCTATGTCAGGATCCAGAAGCTGATGTTTGATTATGATGATTTTTTTAACATAAAATGATTTACATTCAGTCATTTTTTATCCGTTCGCCATTTTTAATCAGATCGTCAAACCAATATATCTGTATATCTATGACATGACGTATAATGAATATATAAAATTTGAACATAATCAGTCAAAGCATGTTGGAGATATAGCTCTAGAACCACTTTCATTAAAACAAAAAGGCTGCCAATCAGCCATTTTGAATCTGATGTGAAAAACTAAATTATGTGCATCAGGGACCCATGACTAGTGTATGTACCAAGTTTAAATGAAATCCATCAACAAATGAGTGAGATCTGGTTTAAGAATGACAGAAATGCTTGATTTTTGATGATTTTTTTTTAGGACAAAAATGGCCACCATTTGGCCATTTTGAATCAAATCTGAAAAATAAAATGACGCGACTCCCATAATATTCAATGTATGTACCAAGTTTGAACAAAACCATTTGTAAACAGTCGAGATCCGGGTCCAGAATGCCAGAAATGCTCGATTTTGATTTTCAGCACAAAAATGGCTGCCATTCAGCCATCTACAAGATACAAATTACTTACTTATAATACTTCTATTCAAACACATCTTTTTTATCAGCAATATATTCAATAACATGCTTGGGTGACATCAACTTTTCTGCATGTGAATCTGGGATTTCAAAACCTAGTAATAAAGGCAAAAGTTATTTTAGAACTAGGATAATAGCAGTCAAGCATCAGAACCACAGCAATTCTTGTCTGCGTTATTTGGGGATATGGCTATTGATGGGTAAAATAACAGCTATTGATAGTTGTTAACTCAGTGCCTGCTGAAAGCCCCCATAGATAACCCCAATGAATGTGTAAAAATGATGCGTTGATATAAATAATCCAAATCTCATTAGAAGCATGGAGTGACAACATATCATGATGTTATTGTTTATGAATATTCATCACCATTTCATCCAAGCAAATCAAATAACATGATGCCTGCAGTACAATACCATGGGCACACACATTCACACTGACCACAAGTAAGGTTCACCTATAACCAAGAATAACCAATTCAATAGTCCATTTGTTCAAAGTTTCATGATCATAGGCAGTTCCTAGTTTTGTAAATATAACCAGTTACTTCAATTCGCTGATAAGGCCAAACCTAAGCTCATTTTGGCAGATCACATGAAATGCTTTATACATTTTGTCAAGGGTCAGTGAATGTTGCACACAAGAGTGATGTTTGCAAACAAAAATTTATTTATTTTTGCAGATTTTATCAAGTTCTCAAGATGTAAATTCTTAACTTTTGAGTTACTGTTTTTTAAAGGATACATTAGCGGGGTTAACAAAGTACCTAGATGTAAACAGCTCTTGGATTGCTCTAAACAAAAGTCGTACACTGGAGAATTTATTATATTACTTTATTTTCGCTTGGAATTAATTTTCGCTTAAGGAATGATTCAGTGAAAATAAAATCCAGCGAATATACTTTTTTTCTATACTTTACATTCAACTCGTCAAAAATCAGTGAAAATAAATTCCATACAAAACAGCCAAGAAGTCTTTTTAGCGAAAATTAATTCCAGCTAAAATAAAGTACTATCTTGTGATGACACAAATTCCACAATAACTGTAGTTACAACTCACCAAATTCATCTTCCATAGCCATTATAACTTCTACTTGGTCCAGACTGTCTAATCCCAAATCATTCATAAAATGACTATCAACTGACAACTGGTAAACAGAGAGTACATAGTAATAATGTAAATACACAAAATCATATCATTCTGGATACTAGGCAGAGATTTACAGACAGACGTACATGTATCTGTGTCCAGGGTTCAAGTTTATTGCAAATTTAGGATGTATCAAGGCAATGTGACTTTGAGGTCTGTTGTCACTCAATATTGATACATTCAAGAATGCATCATAACCTCTTACATCCCATGACAGCATACATTACGGTATATCATGTTAGCACCATGCCTTTACCATCATCATGAATTTTGCATGAACACATCACTAGCTAAAAGCCCCCCAAAAAATAGCCACTATGAATGGTTTATAATCATGTCAACAAGCAATGTGTTAAGGGTCTTCTAAGGTACATGTCACCTGCAAGTGTTTTTTTCCAGTTGTTCTCTAGATATGTGTGTTGCCAAAGCTGTCAGTCAACCCAATCAAATATGCTTGCCAATACCTTTGAGAACTCAAATTAACAAACAAGTACATCAGGATCATTATTCATTAAGTGTATTATTACTCACCTTCTCTTCGTTAATTTTGTCATAAAGTTTTAGAACATATAGGACACGTTCCTTAACTTGTTCTAACGTAAGATCTGGCAATTCAGCATATCCTCTGATGCCGCCTATTTGTACGCTGTTCGCAGGGCACTGTAAGATAATACTAATACTTCAAGTATTGCCGTAGAGGCGATGTAAAACCCAGGTATATATCCATAGCACAAATCATCTTCCACTTCAAAACTATATAAACGTCTCGCACAGAGATCTACAAGTTCAACTTACAACTTTAAAAAAAAAGCTTCCCGGCTGAGATAGCTCCGCTGTTAGCAATGCACATTTCAATTAAAAAACAGAAGATATCATTAGAAAATATAGAAGTGGAAAATATCACTTTTTACCAAAAATTTTAAAAATATTCATCAAAATTAGAGAATTGAAGATATCAATACAAAATGACAAATCTGAGAGAGGTCCACATGTAGTACAATGTACCTATATATGTAATATCAAAGCAATTGGACTTGTGGTTTTCAACAAGAAGTTGAAAAAGTAAAACATTGACACGAACGACAACGAACAATCACTCATATGATAAGCTCCGCTCGACAAAGTGGACAACGGAGCTAAAAATGGAAAGCAGGGCTTAAATTAATGGAGGCCATTACATAGATGACTTCTTTATCAAAATAATTTATCTTCACAATTTCAATCAATCTAAGGCATTTTTAGAAATATTGCCATCACAATACTGAATTTCATGACATGAAAAAAATCACAATTTTTATGACATTTTTTCGTGAGATCCAAGTTGTAAACAAATACGATTTTGAGGGACCAAAAAAAATTGGATATTTATGTACATATTGATCTGTACATATGGCAAGCATGTATAAATCATAGGATAACACAGTAGAATAAAACCTCACTCACTGACTTCCTCTGATATGACTATATATATTCAAGATATAGATTTTTTTTATTTGTAGAACGCGCAAGTTTATTTTTATACATTTACGTGAACTATCGTATCGTGTCTTCAGAATTGCACATGGGAAAAGGATTATTTTTCCCATTTTTAAATTCAATGTCTAAATTGTTGACTAACAGTTGTACAAATATGCTGAGGAAAAAAGTAGCACCGTTACGAAAGCGTGTGTAGTGCAATTATTGAATTGTACAGAGCATTGTGTGAACTGATTTGACCTGTCTGCCAAGAATTCAATTTCAACATGGCCGCCTCTCAGTTGGCACGTACAGTCTTACCATAGAAACGACTTGAAAAGCAGAGAAGTCCCTCCTGTTATCTGGTTGTGTAAATTTACTGCATGCTTGTACACCTGGTAATATTGTTCTCGAAGTCATCGGCCTCACAGTCAGGGCAGCAGAACACCGGCATTGAAGAAGTCGGGCAGCAGAGCGGAGCATGGTCGCCATGTTGGAAATCTAGGTTCAGAAGTTGAGGTGAGTACGCCCTCAAGCTACTGGCATTCGGACACGTGGTGGCGCTATTATGCAAAAAATTGCAGATGGGTCGAAGCATACACAGAATTCGATTCGTTGAAAATACCTGTCTACTTATTAAATAGGCTGGTTGATATGTCTGTCTGTTAGGGTTGGGTGACCAATCGTACACAATCTTGTAAGTAGCTTCACACTGACTCACAAATTATGGTATTGTCCACGTTTTATAATACATGTATAAAAAATAAAATACGGACACATAAATAGAGGATAAATAACACATGAACAAATCACAGTCCATCTATCCCCGTCTACAAACGAAATGAAATATATTGTACCAATGCTTGTAGCGGATAAATAACATGTTGATAACCTTCCAACAAGTATTCCAGAAGTTATACCATCACCATCCATGATGCGACCAAAAATTAGCTTGCATATAATTAAAGGGAACCTCAATCCAAACAACATAATGACCCCTAAAGAAAAAGCTCCACAAATGTAGGAGAATGCAATTTACACTTTTTTTATAACAGTTTTCATTCTCTAGATATTCAACTTTTCATCGTTAATAAGTAGTCAGCCATCTTGATTCTCAAGCAAAGGATTATGGTAAAGTATGACATCATAGAATCAGTTGTCAGAAATTGAGAAAATTATTTCATCTATAACATGAGAAATACTGATGCGAATTAGTTCAAATTTTCGTTGTACATATTACTCATGTATATAATTATAGTAATGGAAATGGGAATTTTACAAATACCACATAAAGTGAAAATATTGTTGAAAACGTTAAAAAAATAAAAATCAATATTTTAGTTGTGAAATATAGAATGTCACTTTTTTGTCCCCTTTTTGCACTCAACATGTGATATATCACCTATATAACTTACTCACGTTATTAAATTGTATACAATATAAGGAAATTTTAGTATTTGGTAGAAAAACATAAAAATAAATATTTTCAGTTCTGTTTCCATGACAACTATTTTATAAGCATGGATGGCACCAGTACATGTATGCTACCAATTTCTAAACTTTCAGCCAATTTGAAGTTCAACTTTTGAAGTTATAGATGAAATCATTTTCTCAATTTCTGACAACAGATTCTATGATGTCATACTTTACCCATAATCCTTTGCTTGAAAATCAAGATGGCTGACTACGTAATACTGATGAAAAGTGGAATACCTAGAGAATGAAAAGTAATACAACAAATTGCATTCTCCTACATTTGTGGAGCTTTTTCTTTAGGGGTCATTATGTTGTTTGGATTGAGGTTCCCTTTAAATTAGAAGTCTGCATGCATATGTGTCGATAGCCATACTAACATCAAGAAATACAGAAGTTATTTGGGGGTGTTGTCGATTGATTTCAACACGTTCTAACCACCAAAAATTTTTAGTATGACCGAATTACGTCATTTACTCTTTAATTGGTACTGAAACTTGCGTTATTTATGCGTATGTTGTGGAAACTGCAATCTCAAACCTGATAAAATTAGTGGTCTGAGCTTTTATGGCATTTATTTTTGAAGAATAATACATGTATCAATATTAACATAAATATTGGAAGGCATCGCCATTTTGATTTCACAAACACTTTTATATGTATTATCCTAAAATGCAGACGTATTTTGGAACAAACTATCTTTAAAATTATACTTTCAACCATCCGACTATTTTAGCACACTTTGAACTTTCCAAATAATATATTTGCCGTTTTGATAGTTTCACAAAGAATAACAGAGACAGAAACATTTGAAAGAAATAAGTCATTGTTCTACATGGACAAGCTGATTGAGCAACACACAGAATAGCGATATATGCAGTCAAAATGTGAAATAATTGACACTTATTCGTAAAATCCAGCAATGGTGTTGTAATATTATATTATATTATATTATAGTGAATTATTACATTCTCATTCAATCAGTGCACGTTTTAATTTGCATAAGTGGGTGGTCAAAACACTGTCACCGTGACATTCAGATATGATTGAATCTCAGATTACTATAGTAGTCTAAGATTGAAGGCAAGCAGCGCAGTTTGGACATAAACAATGGTGAGTGCAAAACAAAAGGTATTCACAAATAGTTATGAATTTGCTTTAAATTCGTAATTTATGTTAAAGCAGGAAAGTCGTCACCTGCGCACACAGCAGGTGGCCAAAGCGTATCGTTGTTTACAAACAAGCGTCGTGAGCAAAGCAACCATAACATGTTGAAAAGGAAAAGGCCTCCTTCCTGTTAGTGCGACATCTAGGGTCAGCTTTGCTGTCTCAGTCATTTATGTTTTTCCTAAACTGTTCTGTAATTCTTGATTTAGCACTTAGTTCTCATTTGCCTTTATACTAATTACTTTACTCATTACTTTATCAAATTTGGTGGAGTTTTAATAAAAAAAAAAGTTTTGCCATCAGAGAGCTGTTTTACTTTGTGTGAAAAGGGTAAATGCATGGAGGTAAAACTCTATGGTTTATGTAATTTATCTATAAACCATGGTAAAGTTTTCTGCTATGCACTGTATATCAAAACTTCAGTATTTCACAGCACCATTAACCTTATTTAAATAAGAATCTTGTAAATAAATAAATTATACATATTTTTTTTATTATTGTTATAATTTTGTTTTTATTACTTGTTTTATTTGACAAATTTTTCATCTGAATTTTTTATTGTGGCTGTGTACACCAGAAACTGTAAAATCGGTAACCAGGACCTCTATCTATATCTAATTTCAGGCAGATTGCTGCAATTCTAAAGTGAAGACAGGTTGAAATGGCTTTTTTTTTTATTATTTGCAACAGATTCCGTAAAAGAGCAACATTTCTAAAATGCAGTGTTCCAGACAACCTAATTTGATTCCATTGGTGCATGGCATTCTCATTCCAAAACAATTCAACTCCATTGTTGGTGACTGTAAAATAAACAGTATGTCACAGTATTCCAAACCTGAGATACAAAATCTCTCTCCAAATCACAATTTCACGTCACGGTACTGACAGGATTACATTCCAACTACAGAGGCAGCAAAAAAAAAACTTGAGCCACTGTGTGTATTTGTTCTAATAACCGTAACCATGGTATTTTTGTATGGAGGACTCCTGTGACGCGGGTGAACAATACACATAGACCAGTTTATATTTGAAATAGTAGTCAGATATTCATGTTCACCACTAAAAACATATTTATTACAATATTTAACATAATTTAGTACAAGTTTTATAACAATAAGTTTACAAAACAAGATTCTGCGCACTTGTGTCATGCTATTTTTCAGTCACTCACACTCCCTATGGAATGTATTTATATACAGAACACAGTAATAAAACAAGTGGGAGGGACAAGCAGTCTAATAGAGGATTCCCAATCCCCATAATATTTGTTATATTATCAGAAACTATAGTGCAATGTTGCAATTAACTTCACATCTATTTAACTTTTCACATGACAACTGTATACATAAGTTTTAGCAAATTTTCAACAAAGCAATACAAAATCGAAGGTATTATTCCCTTTTAAAGTCGAAAACTATCTCTGTGACACCAAAGAAACACACAGTGTAAGCATTTTAGTCTTTTCATCACCGTTTCCTTTTTTTCATCACAAAATATTCCCATTCATAGTCTGCAATTTCCTTCATAAGATTGGGACAAAAATAGCAAAATTTTTGGAGATAAAATTTAAAATTGACTCAAAAACATGTCTATAGACCCCCCCCCCCCAAATTCCAAAAGGCAGCAATTTTGGGGGCAAATTGTGTAACTTCGTAAAGGCGATAGTTTTAAATCGAAAATTGTGACCTCTAAAAACAGACATAAAAATAGATTGTTAGAAATGTCTAATTCCCTTTCATTACATTATAGAGCATGATGTGTATTTTTCCCAATTCAAAATTTTGAGGTTTCACAAAAAAAATAAGCTGTCATTAAGGTATGTCAACATTAGTTCCTCATTTTTAGTAAAGATATTCAACATTTTTTTCCTGCAATTCTCCAATTACAATAAACACATTTTTCAGTTTTCCATCTGGATAAAACCTCACAAAATATAACATTTTTAAAAACCTGTATATAACCATACTTACGAATGATTTACAAAACTACATTGATTCTTTCATAAGAAAAAATCTCAACCCATTGAGTGCCATAATTTTTTCTCACAAACTTTTGAAGAAACATTTTTCAATTTGTCTTTATTTTTCTGTATAAATTTTGGTTCAAATGGAGATAATGTCCCAATGGCTAAATGAATTGTTCAAATCATTTTTGTAAAAATATGAAATAAATTATTCGAGTTTATTTTGTGAGGAATGCCATTCATAGGGTTAAATATTTTTGGCTTGAATAATTCACAATTTTTCTGACTTGTGAATCATTCCCTTTCAACAATGATTCATGAACACAGGGAACAAAGAAACAAAAATATCTGGCAGTACAAAAAAATAAAAGGTGCTTCAGATACAACATACATTAATCCTACATTTTTTTTTGAAAAATAAAATACTTATAATTTGCCAGACCTTAAAAGAATACACATTTTTCAAAAAACTTGAATGCTGTTATGAATATTTCTTGATTAAAACAGAAATAATATCTCTAAACATAAAAGATAATTTGCACAAAATAGAAACCAATCAATTTTAACATAAAGTCAAACTTTTTTTTCATAACTCATGATACAATAATTGGAAATATATACACAATATTAATTTTATACATTCCTTATATATTCGGTCTATACTAAAATTAGAACATAAATAATCATGCTCAATTTGTCTAAATTCACAAAGTCAAAGTAGCATGATTTCATTGTATGTTTCTAAACTATTCCACGAAACATCTAATTTAGTTATTAGTATGCTCTTATGTAAATATGCCACTGAGAAAATCAACAAAGTGACTGTATTGTGAGTGTTTCCATGATTGGTTGATGGTCACCCAATCAGTGTGAAGGCTTGATCCGATTGGTTCATCAGAGTGTATACAATTACATCACATAAAAGATACAATTTACAAAACGTACATATACAATGATACAGACAAGTATCTCAGCACCAGTAATGTAACTTGACACTTGTAGTTCTCACACCTTTTCACCTCTAGTTTTACAATAGACTACAGAAAAAAATTCTTCAATGGTTCATGGTGGTTTTACACAAACATTGTTTTTCCCAGACAAACATCAAATATAATTTTAGCATGAACTGACAGTAAATATGGTAACTGACAAAATTCACTCTACTTTTTCCATAACATTTAAAATTAAATTCTGTATTTTAAGAATAAATCCATATGGAATAATCTACAAAAAGCAGTGAAATCAACACAATAATCATATTTCTCGGTATCATAAAATTGGGCAGTCAAGCCACATTATTTTAAAGGGCAAATAATGATTAATTTCATACAATTATTTTTCTCATGACCAAGAGAACTGATTTTTAAGTTGGGAAACCTTTAGAAATCTGTAACATTAGTTCAAACACTGAGTATAAGAATAGTCAGTCATCTATAAAAAAAAAATCAATCATGCCTAGCCATACATGAAAGCACCTATTATAAAATGTGCATACTAATTGTATGCTAATGATCAATGTCACCACAATTAACATCACCTATGGTAAACGCCTGATTTAATACCTAAATGTAATTACCATAGTGATGCAATTTTAAAATTAGTTAAAATGAGTTACACTAAATAAAAAATACACTGTAAAGTATCCAAATAAAGTTGCTTTAGCATGTGCAAAGAAAAAAGTTTTAAAAAAATAAAAATAATGGCAGAGAACAAAATGTAATGTGCTCAGTACTAAAAAAGGTTAATTAATGTTTTGGAATTTTCTCAACATGATATTCATCCCAGTGACTATGATTTCTAGAGTCACTGCTCTAAGCTTAGCATAAAATAAACATAATTAGTGGAGATCATTATATCTATGTTAACAATTGTGATATGATCTATTTATATTAAATATTAAAATAACAAAAATCCCTTATTACTAGCAATATACATTCTGGGTCAATTTGAAGCAGTGTTGGTGCATAGGGATTCTTAATTATATACAGTATGTATGTTTGTGACCTGTGACCCCTGACCTTTCTGAATCTGATTAGACTTAGAGTGACAGATGAAATACTGAAACCAAGGTCAAGTGTAAATACTCATATCTCCATTCTATATTACAGCAAAACATACAACACATGGTACAACATGGATCAGAGTGTAATCAACACATACAAATATTTATTTTTTTATGTTTTTATACCAAGTATTATACTTTGCTATATTAGAGAAAAAGGAATATTCACTGGGTTAAATTTTTAAATTCTGATGTTTATGTTAATTTGCATACTAAACAGGGAATTAATTTAGCATTAGATTTCACTGAAGCAAAATATGTAAATAATTATTAAAGCCTTATAATACAGCAGTCAAAATGGAGCCATTTTGATCCAGTATTTACTGGAGTGAACAATTATGAATTATTAGTTTACTTTTAAAATCATTTAATAAATGAACTGACATCCATAATACAGATATGTGCATTTATATACTGTAGAATACTTTATTTTCGCTTGGAATTTATTTTCGCTATTTTCGCTGAAGGGATGTTCCCGTGAAAATAAAATCCAGTGAATATACTTTTTTTCCTATATTTCACATTAAACTCATCAAAAATCAGTGAAATTAAATTCCACACAAAACGCCCGAAAAGCCTTTTCAGCGAAAATTAATTCCAGAGAAAATATAGTATTCCACAGAATTTGGTTCAGTAAAGTTTGCTAAATTAACATGTTTACAGACAAACCTGTAAACTGAAGTCTAATTGTATGTGCCCCACAACATGAAAACAGATGTACCACTGAATTGAACACCATAATTTTTTTGACTAAAATTTTGACGTAACATTTTATGTAATAATCTAAAATTCATTTATTAATTAATTTTTTGCTAAATAAACATAATTTTCTTTGGCTACATCAGATTTTTTATAACAATCATGCATGTCTTTTTCGCGAGCATCTCTTTTTCGCGAATTTAGCGAGAGAATTGATTCGCTAATTCAAGATGTCGCTAATGACTTTATTATCAATTCAAAATGGCCACCAAACAAAGGAATCAACAATGACAAGAGAAATTCGCTAAATCAACATTTCGCTATTACGTCATTTTACCACAATTCGCTAAAATTGCATGCCGCTTTTTAAACATGTTTTACAGTAGTTTGTGAAAGATTACAAAGTTTACTTGGCATTCATACGACCAAATATGGCTAACTGAATTTTGAACAAACCATCATCAAAGAAAAGTTCCATTTGCGATGGCAATAATGCTCAAATCTACACAGCGCTATAAAGCATGGTAACAAACTGTAGCAATCTCTAATGCATTATTTAGTTTGGTGCCAACATGTGACGCAATAATATTTGATTTCTTGCAGTACAAACATATACATGTAGTATCACCAACAAAACAAGTAACACAGTAGCAGTCTCTTATCAACCCACAAGGACATCATTTCAAGGAACTACAGTGTACCTGCTTCATGTTTGATTAAAACATGTTTGTACCAAGGAGTGAAATACTACAGTGAATGTCACCTGACCTCTTGCCACAGATGCATTAAATCTTTCGTATCAATGTAAATAAATAAAACACATCTTAGGTGCCAACAAATAAAACTACTGTAAAATACTTTATTTTAGCTGGAATTTATTTTCGCTGAAAAGACCTTTTGGGTGTTTTGTATGGAATTTATTTTCACTGATTTCTGACAAGTTGAATCTAAAATATAGGAAAAAGGGTATATTCACTGGATTTTATTTTCACTGAATCATTCCTTCAGCGAAAATAGCGAAAATTAATTCCAAGCGAAAATAAAGTATTTTACAGTAACAAATGTTAAACAAAAATGTTGTCAATGTGGGAACATTAGTTTTGTTTTCCACTATAGTTGGTTTGTAATTGAATTATTTACAGACAAGTGATAGAATACATTGGCACCAGACGTCAAACGAGGGTGGAGGACACTCTAAACCATTTAATTTTAGCTCTTTGAAATTTCTGTAATATTATTATTTCAATTTGAGGGGGTTAGTGAAGCCAAAATTGCAGGTGAGTTACTGTGTCTCTTTGTCCTGAGAACCCCAGTGACATATTCACTAAAACAACATTTTGCATTTTTTTCAGAAATATTTGTCACAAAATTAGTGCAGTTTACAGTGATCTAACCTGCCCTACTAAGCAAATGTTCAATACATCATGTGCTGATGCAGCTATATACTATTCATATCGATTATCCATGGACGCTTTCGGCTAAGATGTGTTAAAATGTACGAACAACATTTCTATTATGTTTTTTTTTTTATTCCTCTGAAGAGTCGCTATCATCACTTTCAGCAGGGTACAGATAGTTAATGTTCAGCCCTGCAACTACAAATTGTACATCCACTCGTACGCTATATGGAAATGAAAATGAATGACTCAGATTCCATTTGTCTTCACTGTTACTATACTGGTACAATGAAAAGACTGCGTTATCATCGTCATCTTCCTCGTCATCCTCGTGCTTCACTAACACGTGCAGTTTGCTGTCAATCACCATCACTTTTGGGCGACAGGTAAAATGTAGGAAGTCTCCACTGCGGATTGGTATTGACGTTATTCTATGCCATCGCTTTGCATTTGGGTCGTACACCTGCACTGGAATTCCGCTTTTAGGGAGATTATAACCAGCCACGAAGTACAGCTCATCCTGGAACACAGTTGCGCTTGGAACCAATAAACAGCCACCACTCGGTAACCTTGCCGACCACATACTGGCTTCCGTATCAAATGATAGAAATGTGTCTCCTTGGATTACATAGATACAAGAGCCGTATACAATTGCACATAATGGACTCAGCCCAGCTGGCATTGAGGTGACGTATTTCCATTGGTTATTCTTCAAATCATATCCTTCTATAACATCAAGATGCTGCCCTCCTCTTCCCATACCCCCTATAGCATAGACATGAGAATCTGTACAAACTAAATGCAGGTCAAATCGTTCAGTTAACATCGGTGCACGCTTGTGCCACCTATCATGTGTGTGCTCGTAAATGTAGACATCTCTCTGTGGTCGCAGTCCCAAGTCTTGTGAAGTATAAGAATCCTCGCTTCCAGAATGGTCATCAACGAGACAGCCCCCCGCCACGACTAAATCATTCAGCTTTGTCACCACGACACCATAGTCCCACAGTCCTCTAGGTGGTGCTGCCATGGTAAATATCTCATTTGACTTTATACTGAAACAAGGCACCCTATGTACCTCATCTGGATCAAAATTTGGACTGGAGCCAAAACACACTATCATGCTACTCTCGCCCATTCCAAGTCTGGGTTTAACGCTTCTTGGAAGACCATTTTCACTCAGCCTTGCAAGATATTGTATACTTTCAGGTGATTTTCGAATCAGTTCGTTCTGTCGCAGCGACTGCACGACCGTTGTATCAACCATCAATGAAAAGCGAACTTGCTGGATAATTTCTAGCAGAAACTTCACTCGAGTGGTGTCACGTGAATCAAACTCAAGCCACCTCCTGGCAGCATCGTAGACCTGTTCCTCTCGTTGTACATTCAGATTATCACTTGCCAGAATTAAAGATAGCTCAGAACCGTGTAGTTCCATAAATTCATCAGTTTGCGACAATGACTGGAAATTCTGTTCAATAAGTTCCTTGGTCACGCGCTTCAGCCACGTTGAGTTGTATGAACAAGCAAAGCTGAAGAGGGCCACACAGTTTGTCAGATCTACATGTGCTGACATAAACTGTGCACAGGCTTCCTGTACAAACTGAATTTGAAACATGTTAGCCGCTATGAATAAGTTCTGTACAGTTTCCATGGCGAGGTCGAGCTTTGAGGTGTACGCATAATTTATGATTTCGCTCACTGAATGAGCATCAACTTCATGTAAGGTGATCTCATGTTTCTTGCATTCAGTAAGTCCGCTAGTGAACATAGCTTTGAAGTACGGACTGCACGCCGACAATACTGCTCGGTGACACGGAAACTGTTTGTTCTCTACGCACACAACCACGTCGATCAACTCCTTTGAGTCGAACATGGCTTTGAATTGATCGAGAAGACATTTGGCATGCCATGGATTGTCACGTTTGTTTGATATAAAGCCAACTGTAGTAGGATTCGACATGCTCCTTGCAGTAGTTACGGTAGTTACGGTTTGATTCTTCTTCATTGACGGCAGGGGTGCTGCTGCCGCGGCTGCCATCTTGCATCACCTATCGGCTTCGTCAGTTTGAATTTTTAAACAGTCACCGTATATTTTCATCGATCAAAAGCACCAACTGACCTTATTGTTCTTCACCACTAGTGTATTTACTTGACGCGTTAACGATGGAAGTAGTGTTGAACTCTATAGAGATGACAGTAACATTGTTACCGCAGTAAAACCGTCCAAAGAAAGCTGAGCGGATCATAAACTGTTTCTTCTTCAAAGCACCGCCATCTTGAATGTTGATAATACTCCCTAAGCCACTGCATATTTATTATGGGGTGTCCAGCCAACTGGAAAACAATATAATCGCTCAACACCTATTTTATTGTATTCTGTCTGTCAACAATGTGTGAATTATTTTTAATTTATAAATACGATGATAGGAAATATGGATCAGATTATAGGATTACAGTACGTCATAATTATAATCATAATCATGAATTGCCGACCAAATCGATTCCTAAGGCAAAGGAATGTAGTTTATTTCTTGAATAAATGCAGGGACAATAGCGACAATAACACGGTTTGCTTCGTTAATTGTTAACGACTTTCAACAAAGGGCCCTAAGAAGATTATTGACCCCATTAGCAAAAACTTGACAATGAATCGGTGAGAGTCTCAATGACCATCTCAAATTCCTGTTATTTTTTTCCCTGACACATTTTCAAAGAATGGAAGGTATTTTCCATGTTCAAAGTAAACTGGGGTGTGTTCATCAACAACGTTCTTTGCAGCTTTTGGCGTATACACGGTTACTAAAAAAGAAGTAACCGTGGCGTATATTTGAATGTCATGGGCTTTTTATTTTACTTACCATAGTGAAATGGAAAGAACTTGCTGAATGGTATTCGTTTGACTTGAGCGTTGACACAATCAAAGGCGTTCTTCATGATACTGTCACTCACACTTATTTCACGGCAGTGCAGCAATTAAATGGTGAAGTGAATAAAACCAATTGTCTTTTTTTCTATGGGACATTCATCAATTCAATAAAGAACTGATACTATCCTACCGTTATTATACAAACAGTGTGTAACAGGTTGGGCAGGGGCTGTGGCACGAAATTTTGCACGAGGGGCGAGATCTGAAACCTAGACCCTCTGAAACGCTATTTCCTGCATTTTGAGAGAACAATTTTGCTGACACAAAAGATTTCAGCTTGATTTAGGGGGGACTACGTTCAGTGGAATGGGTCTGAGAAATATTTTTTTGGGGGTCGTTTTTTGTGACTAAATTGCGAATTTTAAGTATTCTGTCATGAATTTGTTTTCGCGTATCTGTTAACCGACTTAATTAGTTGATTATTAGCTGAATTGCTGTGTTATGTCTGTCATCGTTTAGGTCTATTTGAAGTTTTGGACGGAACTTGGCTCAGTGATTTGGAACTTATTACCAGATAACCGTCGCCATTCTGACAGTTTATATCCGTAGTTATTAATGTAGTGAACGATTAATCAAAAGATATGACGTATTCAGTACTTAGTGTGATTGGCTTTATGATTGAAGGTTACGCCCTAGAGTCTTTTACTGTTTTGTAATTGGTTAGAGTTTTGAAAATGAATAAAGAGAGTTTGAGTTGGTCTTGGGGAGCACAGCACGATAGACGCAGTAGAGAGAGTGCAGTCCTGGAGAGTCGAGTCGAGTCCTGGAGAGACTTGGGGCGAGCCTTGACGCAGTCTTGGGCGAGTCTTGGTTCAGCCTTGTGAGAGTCTTGGGGACTTTTCCCCAGGACGCTGTGTCTTATAGAGTGCTCCAAAAGATCGACTAAGACGAGAGTTGAAACGTATTTCGTTGTGTGTGTCTTATTTGACTGTAAAGCTAAAGTGACTTTCCCGATCCCGTACCTCAAGGGGACGAGATAGAGAGACGGGACGAGATTCCCCCCTGGCAAGTGTAGAGAACCCCGTGAAGAGAATTTCCCCCTGATAATTCACCAAAATTACTCATCGCAATGGTGTGACGTTAGAAATAAAAATAAATGTAAAAATGTTACGTTCACACCATATAGTGAGTGCGAGAAGGTGTTCGAAGCCATAGACAGAATTCTAAGGTTCTTTGGGAAAATATAATTTTTATAATAGATATATTTTTTTTATAGAAAATATAATTTTTATAATAAATTAAATATCCTTCGTTTTTGTAGAATGTAATGTGTGTCTATCTACTGTCATACAGTAAATCGACCAATGATGGACACATCTACCTTCATGCCGTGAAAGGTGTGATCATGACGATATGCATTGCTTGAGGACAACGTTCGTAGATTTGACACCACGATCAACTTACGCGGCCAATACCAAGTTTCCTATATGTGAAGTTTGTCCATCTTGGTCCGATTGGTGGCATTTGAGTATCATCAAATATCATTTGCATATCATCTAATAGTTTGTTTGTTTTCAGGACAAACTGCAAAGTTCATCTGATCAACGGCTGATACAATATACCATTGAAGTGATCTAGTCTTTGCTTTTAATAATTTGCCAGTTTATATTTCAGACAAGACGCCACAGTTACACACTGCAGTAAACTGAGCCTCGTTCAGCTGCATTTGCCTGAGAAATATCCTTGTTGTTATTGAATACTCAGTACCAGGAACAAACAAGACATACTGGTAATAAGAAATACGTGGTATTGGAGATCATAAATAACTAAATAAAACTGGATAAGTTTGATTGTATAGAATTATTGAAAAATAAGTTTCATTGAATGACATATGAAACTTTCCCAGACCACATGTAGGACTGGTTGCGATATCAGAAGAGAGACCAACATAGACATTGTATCTATCACAACGGAATGTCTTGCATTTGTACCAAAATAATACAAAATAAGTGAAAATGTGTCTGCACGAAAAGAAGATAGAACGCATGATTTTTTATTAAAATCGGGAAAATGATAAATAACGTGCATCCATAACCCACTGTCTGTAAAGACAATACCAAATTGGAATGACACCAGGCCAGCACACTGAGAAACTATTGAAATACGTGTGTGTATGTATATCACTATGTCTTGAGTTTTTTACTTCTTTTGAGAAGAGAAATGGTCAAAGGCATATGAAAAAAATCAACAAAAAGCATGTATGGCACCAGTCGTCCATTATGAATCAAATTACAATCAAAACTTGTGGATATCAGTAACCCATCGTGTGCGATGTTCATGTCAATCTGAAAATAGAATCGACCTAGGCAGTTCGACCTGAACAACTGATGACACGGACAAATAGACAGCGCACAAACTTCATCACGGAAACTAAAAACTTTGATGACCATAAATTAAAAATCCTACAAGACTAAATTCTGTTTCTCTCCACGTTGGTATTAACCCCTCCCTGCACTAATTCTCATTTTCCGAAAATCTCTGAATGTTCTCAAGTACACCTGAGTCCCACTTCTAAACGTTTTTTTTTAAGGAGCAAGTTATTTCTCAAGGCTTATACCGTCCCCGATCAGCGACCAGGTGTCACCGGCAGTATCACTGAATTCCAGGAAGCTTCACTTGAAGGTACAATATATTCGATTGAAATTAAACTTCTAATATAAGTTAATAAATAACCAAATCGATGTTTTAAATAATAAATTATACACTTCATTGAAAATATAGATATACAAAATATAGACTCATACACCGTGACACCATGATAGGAACATAGGTATGTTTGGTTGTAGATTTCCAAAAAAATTCATCGCAAGAAGATATAAATTGAAAGAAAAATGTTCGAGCAAAAAAAGTGTTGTTGTCTTTTAATTCACACCCGGACAAACATGTCGCAAAATATCGCCAACTTAGTACGTCCCGATCTGAATAAAATGTATATCCTATTTTGTATTACTTTAACCATCGCTTTTCGCGTTCACCAAAACTTTCAAAAAAATGACAGCCAATAAAAAATAAATTCAAATAAGATAAAGTGTATGATAAAAAATAAATAATTAAAAACATATTGAGAGAACGAAAAGGTGAGTAGTCTGAAACGGGTCCACAATGTATAGTTTTGATCTACAAACAACATCATTGCCATATTTCAAAGACAGTCTGATTCCACATACCGGGTATAATACTAGTAGTTGAACTTAGGTAACAACGGATGGGGCGAATATCACGATTAATTATTGACGCGTATCTATGTATTCCATTCCGAAATGTTGAAATGTGTACTCCAAGTTCAGTAATTTTATTAGATATAAATGTTTATTCACCCAATAATAATTACGATCACCACAAGAATAATAAAATAAAAAATAAAACTAATGATGATAAGTAAAAGTTAAGGAGTATGTTGTTGGATGAAAGAGAAATCAGAAAATTGCTTAGAGCTTGTTTAATTTCCTGTGAATACTTGAACAGAAGTTGCATTTTTTTGGGGAAAATGAAAATTTGGAGAAAAACAAGATAGCATTCATAACTAAGACATTAGTGACAGAATAATAAATTAAATAAAAGTAAATAATTAGGCAAATTTTAATATTTTTACAATAGTACTTGTTTTGTAGATGTTTTGAATGATCTGCGGGAGAAAATTGATCTTGTTTCAAATGATATGCTGTTCTATAGTTTAGACCCTATGTATGATATCGAGAACTGGCCGACTGCAGTTCAAAACTGCTCAATGCGGAGGTTTTGCGTTTGTTGCGAATATTACGAGAATGGTCACGTGGTTTGAAATAATCGTTGAAGAGCGGTGGTTGTCGCGTTCTGTTCAATATGGGACTCGATACGACGTGAAATTAGTGTTTAAATTGTCAAGAATTGTAAAATACATTTTATAGTTCTCCTAAGACTATTATTAGAATCGAAGACGTAGATGGCAACTATTAAAACAAATGATAAGATTTCCGTGACATTTACACTATAATGGTTTTATTTTATGTTTACAAAACCCAGATAAAATATATTGTCAAAAAACTACTTTTCGCAGAAACATAAGTCAAATATTGAAAGTATTCATGCAGGAAATAGGGCTAGTAGATTAATAAGGTAAATGGAATAAAATATGCATGTAAATAGGAATGGGATAAGGTTAAAGTAAAATACAAAATATAATAGTTGAAATGTTAAAAATTAAAACATCAGAATTCGTAGAGGCCTTCAACTTTCAAAGTGGCAAGCATGAACACTAGTTTTGATCAGGTTGCGATTTGCACTGATGCTGATACAAGATATTCTCCAATGTGTTCCATTCAATCATTTCAAGCAAACCTGTGAATATGTAATAACACATATATGTGATCTTTCTTTGTACTAATATGCTAGACTGTGAGCCTATTTCACTTATCGGTATCGCCGTTTGATGCGATTTGCAACAATACTGGTCGAACATTTGGAAAACAAATTGCCATTAATCAATACACAAAATATTAACTAATTAGTATAATTAGTTTAATATTAACCAAATAGTAACCTGCCAACCACAGATGTTGTGCAGTGCATGTTTCATAATCTGTGTAAACAACGTATTCTACATGCAGTGGAGATGTTGCATGGGACCCACATTGAACTTCACCATATTGATTTGACTCAGTATTTTACTGTATTTTGTTCATTATATAGACCTTTTGTCTGAATGAGAGTAGAATGAATGCTACATTTCAACACATTTGCATAACCACAATTCAAATCACTCACAAAATAACTTTAGTACAACTCTATCTTTCAAATATGATAAATAATTATTAATATTAATGTTTGAAAACAACAAGCAATATGACCATGTACATATCTCATAAAACAGTAAAGATGTATATGCAAACATATACATGTAAATCATACAAAGCAACAAATATTTCTGGGTTAAAAAAACAAACACTTTTCTGAAAGCTGATTGGTCCTATTAATAAAGAATATTATGTGAAACCAAGAAATTGTTCAAAATAATTTTTTTTACTGGTTTCACAACACTAACAATCTGCTAAAGTCATAGTTTTCAACAAAGGCACATGTAACATTAGAACCCTCAGCACGTTGGATGAATAGTTAGAACAATAACTCCTTCACAACTGGCAAATAGTCTCGGTTTATATTCTGTCTGCTTATATTCACAGCAGTTTTTGCATTCAGCAATGCATCTTAAAGGTCATACATCCTGGTATTTGGACATGACCCCTACATGTCATACATCCTGGTAATTATGACCCCTACATGTCATCCATCCTGGTAATTATGACCCCTACATGTCGTACATCCTGGTAATTATGATGACCTCTAGGGGTCATGCCTCCTGATATTTGGACACAACCCCCGACTGGTCATACATCCTGGTAATTTCTGGTGATATTGGTGTCCTTTAACATAAACATCAATTCCAAAGTGATACAAGCTTGAATTTTTTTGAGAAAAAGAAACTTATTGGTGAAAGTGAATTTTTGCCCCGGAAAGTGTCATAAGGCTTCATTTGGTTTAAATTTTTGTTAATAATTTTGGTTTGAAAAAAATTTATTATGATAGGGTTATGTTAGATTAAATTTGACAAGAGAAGTAAACTTTTACACTCGCCATGTTGATAACACAACTAAAAGAATATTATCAGAAACACTATACGATAGATATAATACTAAAGGTACATTGTATATTGGGGAAAAACATAGTATATACACTAAACACTAGTCTATAATCTATGCAATGTTCCACTCATTATACACTACTTCATTATACACCTGGGTGCTTGTAATGTCTTCACATTCAGATAATAAATAACCACAGATTTGATTAACTGAATGAGAATAATGTAAACGCTGAAGATCATGTGATTATGACAAATTCCCATTGGCCAATGAACACAAGGTATTTTATTTTAACCCAAGTTTTAACCTAACCTAGCTTAGATTTACAGAAAGGGGCAAGGTATGATACAAGTTATATAACCTTTCCTTAATCCTTAAACAAGCAGCCTCTCAGCTGAGATAGCTATGCTTTTTGCAATGCACATTTCGAGTCAATTCAAGAACTGAAGATATCATTAGAAAATTAACAAATCTGAGATGTCTACCTGAGGTACTTATATGTATAGTATCAAAGCAATCAGACTTTTCAACAAGAAGTCGAAAATATCACCTTTTACCAAAAATATTCATCAAAATTAGATAATTGAAGATATCACGAAATGAACAAATCTGAGAGAGGTCCACATGTAGTACCTATATACCGGTACATACGGTTTTCAACAAAAGGCCGAAAAATATTACTTTTTACCAAAAATATTCATAAAAATTAGAGAATTGAAGATATCATCACGAAATGAACAAATCTAAAAGAGGTCTGCCCAAGGTACATATACATCAAGTATCAAAGCAATAAGGATTGTAGTTTTCAAGAAGTTGAAAAAGTCAAAAGTTGACATGGACGATGGACAATCACTCATGTGATTAGCTCAGCTCGGCAAAGTAGACAGCAGAGCTAATAAAGTTACAGTTTTTATATTGCTTGATGCAATTTGTATCATGTTGTTTCTATAGTGTTACCAGTACATTTCATTTAATTAAACTCAATTTAAATGCAACTATATCAAAATTTGATAAAATATAATTTAGTACCGGTATATCTTAAATGTGTCCTTTGAAGGTAAAACATTTGAATGAGTGATGGAATATTACTAGTATCATACCTAGGTGTTGGGTAGAGCAGTGTATATTGAATGGAATAGTGCACTAAACAATAAATTAAGACAGATATTAGAATTTATTTTTCATAAACAAATTTCAGAAAGCAGAGATCAGAGTAGCATTAAATATATAAATCACCTAATTTATGTACAAATCAGATATTTTCAGAATCTACCCTGGGTATTCTCAATTCTGCCACAAGTTTCAAAAATGCTGTTTTATGTTATCTAAACCCTTAGTGCCATTTTATATACAATTCTATAAATTTGTTAGTCATCTTTTATTTTGCTGACCAACCACAGAACACTTCTTGAAGCATGTCTTGATACACACTAAAACAAAAAATACAGAAAAACTTGTCTTGAAAGAAAAAAATAATATACAACTAAACTAATTATATAACATTACTGTAACCATGACATCACGCAAACTTTAAAACTGTTTGTTACAAATGACTTTTAAAATAGCGATGCATTCAAGTTAATTTACATTTGTAATGTACAGTGTAAAATAAATGATATTTGTCACCAAAAACAAAAAAAATCTTTGGGATTACTTCTTTCAAAGAAATGGAACCTTCCTTTTCTGTAAGTTTACCAGAAAAATCAAATTACAAGAAAAATGAATTGAGAGGCCACATTAGAACGACAATATACTTGGAAGCAAACATCAACTCAGGCTTGATACTTTTATCACCTGCACATTCCCAAAAAGGACATCTTTTTCTGACTTTACAAAAATAAGATAAATCACATTTCAACACCATTTAATTTTAGCTCATGTAAATTATTTTATCATTTTTTTTTCAAAAATAATACATTTAAAACTACAAACATGTATATAAGAACATTGTAAAATAAACCAATGAAAATTGAAATAAAATAATCTACTAGATCCAAACTGAAACCTCATAACTGCCACTCGGTTACACATGCTGATTACCAACACAAAAAGATTCCCTTTAAAGAATATTTTCTCAGACAATTATCTCATAAACATACAATGTACCTTTCTTTTGATAAAACATTGAGTGTAATACATGCAAGTACCATTTTTTTTTTTTTTTTGAAAAGTGAGAAAAGTAAGTTTTGCAATTATTTTTGTGAAAAATTGCATGCGAGACGAATGTTACCCTGAATATCAGGACCACAATAAAAGACTCTTTATATGTTAACTTACTTATGTACAGGTATGTTTATAATTTGTAATCAAAGATGATACTCTAATTGGGGAAAATTATACAAGATATTTTTTTTTTACACAAAAACAAACAAAACCTGTATAACTGTATGCGCAAAATATCAAACTAACATCAAGTACATGTACTAATAACATGATTAACATAACAATTCAGAGTTAACACACTGTAAGTAAATCCAATCTTTTATCTGAATCCAAATTATTCAAATCAGTTCAGTTAGAACATGTGTGTGATGCCCATTGGAAGAACAATGTTAAAACTTCCTAAAACAAATGCAGAAATAAATTAGTTTATTGAAAAAAAACAACAAAAAAAAAACATTTATATTAACACATTGCCTGCTGTCTTATTTATATACCATTCATACTGACTTTGAGAGTTATCTTAAAAATAGATAATCTTTTAAAAAAAATATAATTAAACCTCTTACTCTCGCAAAGACAGAAAAATTAAAAAAAAGTTTAATAAAACAAATGCCAAAGAAATTATTAAATATAACTCAATTCTAGCAATCAAAATATTAAGACCAAGGTTCTGATTTTATTTTGAGAAAAACATTATTTTGTACTTAAACAGATTATAAAACCAGCATTGATAACATATTAAAATGTCTAGTAATTGTATTTTATCAACTCCCTAGTGCTATGATGTAACTTTTATGTTCATAGTTAAGTTATAAAGAGTATGCAACACCATGTTCTGTGTCAAGTCGATAACATAGATGTGTGATTTGTCTACAATATGGAAAATGGTTAACTTCATCATTCCTTCAACGATAAGATATGACAAGAAAACAAAGAAACACTTGTTTCATATAAATCAATTTAAACACTACAATTACAGTAAGTTATACCATGACAAAGTAAGCTACACCAAAATTGGTAGTAAATATTTGAAGTTTTGATTATTATCATACAAACTGGCACATTAGGTAACTTTTCACTTTGACACAGTCTAACTGGTGAATCACACTTCTTACACAAAAGCTCAAAACTTGAACATTTGTATCTGGAATATCGAAAGCCAAATTGATACACTGTGGTAGGCGTCTACTGGAACTCATAGATTGGTACACTGTGGTGGGCATCTACTGGAACTCGTAGATTGGTACACTGTGATAGGCATCTATTGGACACGGAAATGGTACATTGTAGTAGGCGTCTATCGAGACTCGTAAATGAGAAACTGTGGTAGGTGTCTATCGGAACTCGTAGATTGGTACACTGTGTTCTAGCACATGGGTAAGATTTAAAGACTGAAACCTACAAGTGAAAAACAAAGTATGGCAAACATTAAGAAGTTTTGAAACAAAGGTAGTATGGTGATTGTAATGACAGATGAAGTCATAATTACGTGAAATATAGCAGCAATCATTTGCAATCAGTGAAGGGATTCTATTTCCATTGAATGCTACATTGTTGTTTTGTCTCATGTAAACAGAAGGAAGTGTTTGAATTCGCTGGAGTTAGGACCCGAATAGGATTTTTCACATGCAAACAAAAACAAAATGGCAGGGAGTCTCACCATTCTGAGCTCCTGTGATAGTAATAGCCTTCAATGCTTGCGGTGGATTTAGTAAAGCATATGTAATAAAAGCCGGCAAATGATGCACCATTAATGTCCTTAATAGTGTGATCTGGGACAAGAAAATGCTCCTGAAATAAAAAAAAATCAAATACATTTGATGTTGTATCAAAAAGTAAATGTCAACAACAACAACAAGTTTGACACTTATATTTATAAATTATAAACAACTCATTATTCGTGGTATGTATCATCATTCGAATTGCATGGTTTTGCAAACTCAATGTAAACATACTCTCCCAACGAACCCGTGTACAATAGCTATGATTGCACAGACCTTTAAAATATGCATTCAATTAAAGTTTGTGCAACTTTTGGCAGTGGAAATATAACAAGTCATTGACACAGTACCCATCATGTAATAGTAAACAATACTGAAATCAGTCAGCCATTGTCAATTAGAATCTGACTGATGTAGAAATTTTGTGTCAAGATTTACTTAAAGCTGGGGAGTTGTCACCTGCGCATGCGTCAGATGGCAATAGCGTGCCATTGTTTACAAACAAGCGTCTACTTATGAGCCTTTGGATTTTTAGTGTGTGTTGTTATCATCGCTTGGGACTCAATTCCCGCACGTGCGTAGGTGACGACCCTCTCGCTTTAATTTTTAACACACTTGATGAACATATTCTGCTATGGTATAATGATGACAAAGATGTCCCTGTTGGAGCATGAGAGATTATGGCATCCTCCAGTGTTCGAGTTAAGTATAAATCTAAACAAGAAAATACTTTTTCAAAAAGATACAATAAACAAAAACCAACCTCTGGATGTCAAAATTTTTTTTCCCAAAATTAAATTAGACTTATTTAAATGGAATTGCATTCTGAAATACTGCTATACATATTACAAAGGAGGAATTTCAGTTTTTTAAAACATTATCAAATGAAGGCAGAGACGATTCAATACTACGGTAAAGTTTGAATAATAATGTAATGCATGCATAATTCAGTACTCACCTTCCATCTCATAAATACAAAATCTGTGTTTTTTAATTCTTCATAAGTAAAGGAGTCTGAATTAAAAGTTTTGGCATATTGATAAAAAGATAAAAATTTTCCCTGAAAACAAAAAGTTTAAAACCATATAAGAAAATGAACTGGAGTATATAAAAAAAATAAATAATATACATGTTGTTTTAAAATGCTACAGTCATTGCGCAGTGTCTATCAAAATTTTAAGCAAGAATACAATGATATGATGCAGAAAGCTGGTGCTTCAACTAACTTGACTAGCCAGCAGATACTAATATATATTTTTTGGGATTTATTGATAATCATTATTAGTCTTTACATACCACACATTAAGACAACTAAAAGTGACTTTCTGGCCAGGCCATCACACTGTACTACAGATCTGTACACATTATGCGGTAATAACAATACACTGCCCATGTTATCAAAAATGCAGGGAGTCAAGAGGGAAAACGAGAGAAGAGAATAAATAAAATGTAGAAGGGAAAAAAATACTTGTAGTTGATAATATTATAAGTTGGGCAATCTAATAATTACAAACATAGACAATTTAGTCTTTTAAACATACCCAATGCTTTCGATCCACCTCTTCATCTGCATCCCACTTCCTCGTTAAAAATGGATATTTTTGGCTAATAATTTCACCATCAAAGAAAGTTGTTAAGGTGGGAAATTCTTCTGTCAATCCTTTGATTTTAAGATATCCACAAAGGAAACTACTAGCTTCGTCTACGTGCTGTAATAACAGTATGAAATATGTCATAATTCATTAAAGTTTTAAAAATATTGTAAAATATACATGTAAATGTATCGTAATCTGTAAAAGCTTGTTTCCTGTCTTATGAAAACATAGAAGAAATAAGTCGCATTCAATTATGAATCAAACAGAAAAAATATGTTTACTGGTCAAAGAACAAACAACACTAGACAAACAGTACTAGTATGTGTTTTTGCAGGCGAGAAGCAAAGCCCTATTTATTATGTTCAGAGTAATGATATGAATTATTTTTTGAACACCTTCATTCTAAGCCAAAGTGACAGAGGTCGCTGACCAGAGCTTTCACACAACTGGGTTCCGCCTACCGATACGTATAAGAATTCACTGCTTTGTGAATGAAACAATACATTTTATAGTTAAATATTTTTTTATTTGAATATTCACAGAATTTAGTGCATCTATTTTACTAAACAGCGAAATACGCGAAAATAAAACCCAGCTGGTAACTAACATTATTTACCGGGTAATTTTATGAATTGTTTTATTATCTTGTTGTTGCTGTTTTTATTGTCAGTCAGTTCATATACAGCTATGTTTTCGATGAGTTTGAATATTATGCAGACAATAATTCAACAACAAAAAAGACAAGCTGACAGTTGGCATAAATACACTGTTACATCTACATATAGGCACCAATACATGCATAGTAAAAGCACGACATGTCACATACTGTAAACAAACGTACGAACTAAGACATTACAACAGAATCAACGCTTTTTTGCAACGTAACGCGCAACTGTACCTGCAACTCTACTTCGACGTCATAGCAATTACCCTTGCTTTTCTGATAACCTCGGAACTTCGAACCGCTGTAAAGAAGTGATCTGGTTACTCCTGGCTGCGTCGTGTTCGCCGGGGGAGGCGGGACTAGTTCGATTTTGCCAGGCATTTTACCTGTACAATCCGTGTTTCCACCTAAGGGATTTCCCAAGTAAAAATGGCCGCTGAGGATTCCCACTCAACTCACCTACGTTGCTCTCTCACATGTTACAACAACTTTGATTGGTCCATCGTTATTGAGACGATCCGATCCAGCCAATAACACTACAGTTTCTTTATTAGGTGGGGGAAAGTAGTAAATAACGGACGCTTAGGGGGCATTAAATTGAGACACATGGCTTTCTCGTATTTAGCCGGCGTGTAAATTCAGGAACATCCTACCCCAAATATCACCATGCTTGTCCGATTTTCAGCCATCTGTTTTAGATGTCATAGTGAAAGATTAGCTCAGCAAGTGCGCCAGTGTCGTCAGATGTCATCGTTCAGAGGTAAATTCCGCATTTATCCATAATATTAATAGGTTGCTGTAACCATTTCCATATAAAATTATTATTGACTGTAATATTGTTTTTGGTAGAAGTATGTTAACCAAGAAGAATTTATCATTTTTTTCAAAATGTAGTTACAATCAATATGAAAGTCTTAAAACTAAAGGAAATTTACAATATTTGGAAATCTATGACAAGTATAAACAAAATGTAAAATTAGGAATGAGATGCACTAAAAAGCACAATTTTTGTTAAAAATTCAATAACAAATGTGTTTGATTGGATGCTAACTGATGTTGTTCATATCATGGACCATACTATATATATAAGGTCTATGTTTATATATAAAGTGGGGACATGAGCCATATTTTCATTGGCTGTTATTATGATAAGCGGTTTGCTAAAAGTCTGGTTCTAGTGATGTCAAATTCACTGTAGCTGTGATTGGTCAAAGGGTTTTCAACCACCATTTTGAGTTTTAAAATTTATAGGTATACCGGTATTTCTGGAATAAATGTAAAAGTAATTCACTATTTTGTATATCTTCATAAAGCAACAAAATCAAATCATTCCCAAAAAGATGCATCTCATCTTCAAATGTGTAAAGTAATTTAATTATTTTTTTAAATATTTTTCGCAGATATCAAAAGATTTTACAAGAATGTTAGCGTGACCCAAAATGATAGTATTTTCGAAATTAATCTTGATAATCGTAAGTTGAAGACACCTATGGGTAATATCTTCACTGTCCCTAATGAGCCACTAGCTATTGCCGTGGCAACTGAATGGGACTCACAAGCCAAATTAATACAGAGACATACCATGTATTTGGTAAGTAAAATATTGAATATATGTAAATATTTTTCTATAATTTCTTCGTTAATTTTGGACCAAATGGACGTAATTACCCATCGAATACAGATCTTGATTATCTTTTTTTGAAAAATATAAAACAAATTATTTTGTTGAAAGGTTAAACTGAATGTTTAGAAATCTGTCAGTAAATGTGGGATAGTGAAACTTGCAAAGAGGCTTATAGCCAGCCAGCCATGATGTTCAGGAACAACAACTGCTAGTTGATATTGTAGTAGTGTAGATTTCACAGATCTATCAATAAAGCAGAGCTGTACTGCTTTTACAAAATGTTGTCACAGGATCTCACAAATTATTATAAATAGCAAACATTCTACCACTGAATGTACTGTATGTATCATATCAATCTGATTAAAATATATTATCCAATAGGTATGGGGCTCCAATTGTTTTTTTTGTTTGTCTTTTTTTGTTGTTGCTGTGAATCAGTTCTTAGAAAATCATGTCCCAGTCGCCTAGAGAACTGATTAACGGCAAGAAAAACTAAAAAATCAATATATTCAGACTAAAATACAAATAAATGTTATATAAAGAGTCATAAAAAAAAATTGGAGCCTCATACCTACATCAGATTTTAATCAGATTGGTATCATACATCTTTGTACCGTTTTAGAGTAATCTATGCAATGCAGTACTGGACAATCCAGCTCAGAAGAACAAAGAAACAATAATCAAAACGATACTTCATTATTTGAAAACAGACACTGTCTGGTGAGTATTATGAAAGTAATTTTGTAGTGGTGAAATGAATTAATTAGTTTGTCCTTAAGACAGAAAATCACAGCATGAAATTTTCTTCTCTCAGCACCAAAAATAAAACAATTTACAATATTATTCAGTAAGGGACGACGTCAAAAGATCGATGTCGGATAAAAAACTTATTTCCTTTAGTTTGGCGGGGGGCGTTGACTTCAAAAAGTTTCCATCCTACAAAAACGATTTTATTTTTTAATGAAGTCAAAAAAATCTTGGAGTATTTGTAGTTCGTTTGGAATTAAGTTTTTTATCCGACATTGATTTTTTGACGTCGTCCCTAAGTACCAAATTAAGGACATTTGAATTAAATTGAAGATTATATTAATTATTTTCATTCATATGGGTACATGTCATTTGGATACAAGAAATTAAAATCAAATTGGGGTCATAGGACAAAATTTCTGTAAACAAGAGTTCCAAAATGAAAAATATCATTTTCTTTTTTCATTGGTTTCCTCAAAATTTTGCTTAGTCACATGGGCTAAAAAAGTTGGCTAGAATAATGCTGTTGATATAAATCCTAATTATTTTTGACTGTTACATTCAATTTAGTGAGTATCCTGTGCGATTATGTTGTTACATTGTTTGATGACAATTTCTCTCCCATAATGCATTGCACACATGCTCAGGAGAATTTGACTTCAAACCTTCTGTTCCAGGAAATCTCATAGATAATATATGCACTATTAATTATAATTTCCTGCTCATATTCTCTACCAGATTCTGCCATAAATTCGCACATCCGAACAATCGCCCTGAGCGATTTGACGGTTGGTTGGCACTTATTTAGGGTTCAAAATTTCAAAAAAAGATCATCAAATATTTTAGGGGAACTTCTATTTTCATTAAAAAATCCAACTACGTCGAATGTCAATGCCGGCAGTTGGGCCACCCAAAACGAAAGAAACTATTGCAGTAGCTAATCTAAAATTTGATATATTTTTTCCTTGTTGAATTAAAAAGTAGATCGCCTAAAATTTCATTACAATATCACCCAGTGTAATTTTTCTCAAAAAAATCACATTAATGAACCTGGTACGTTAATTAATAATTAATCATTTTATTTTAATTTTATTGGTAACAAAAGTATATTCTAAAGGAAGTTTCAAATATAAACAAACACAACTGCATTGCTTAGCAGCAAATGATTACTGTTGCGCAATGTGGCGTTTCACAATTGTTGATTATTACTTAGTAGTGATTCTAATAACGCACAAAAAATTAATTCATTGAATTGTTATGAAATGCAAATAAAAGTCAACTTATTTTCATTGTAAGCAAATGATTCCGGTCGCATATAAACGCCCGAAACTGTAGGGTATCCGCCATGTTCTTTCTCTTGCATGAGTTGACCAAATAGGTCAAATCGCTAATTAACCAATCAAAATGCTGGATGATGCCAATGTGTTCAAATCACCATAACTCATTTAAATATGTTAATGTTATTGACCGCAATGCGGAAGAGATTTGCTGATATTGTAGTACGACCTTTTGGCTTGGATTTTGGAAAAACAGCATGATTTTTTTTCAAATAAAAAATAGTTGTTTTCAAAAGATAAACTGAGCATAGAAGAAGAATTTAACATTGTTTACAGTGATATCAGCTCATTGTCGAAACGAAGCTTACCCATTCACGCTAGTCACAATAAACACAGTGTTGAATAAAAACTTAAAGTGCCTGTGAAATGGCTGCTATTTTCACGCCTAAAATTATCCATTGATACATAAATATTATTAATTTTTATGTTTCTAAGCATGAATTATTATGAATTATTGAAAAAATGTGTTTTAAACTCAATCTACTGCAACTTTATTTTGTGTATTTTAAAACGAGGCTCCTCATTAGCTTCTCATTTGCATACAGAAATTCCCCTTGTGACGTCAGAAGGGGAAGTCGTATGGCAGCTTGCATTGCCGATACGTGTAAA